CAATTTACTTAACCCCAAATAAAAGAACCCAATGAAAAGAGTTGTTAAATAATAGTGAAGTCACGTTGTAATAACAATAACTCATCCCTCTCGAGTTTTCTTTTTGAGCTTTGCCAAAAGCCACTGTGTCAAGTGTCCTTCTTGGTTTGCCTACGGAGTTGTCCAATATGGCGGACCATCTCGCACATGCCACATGTTCTTATTATACATCCATGGCACATGCGCACTGCAGATCGGGCAGAGCTGCAGATCGGGTAGTGGCCCTGGGCCCTTCTCTTATTTTTCCTTTCCTTGCTCATCGGTCTTACCGGAAGTTGATTTGTCTGCGCCATCTTGAGTACCGTCCCATGGCTCTTATTTCTGCCGGAGGACCGAGGATCGAGGAGCGATAATGGAGGAGCGATAACCGAGGAACCATCAGACCAGCGCCATATAGACTGTCTATGGCTGCTTCTCAGGTCGATTAAATGAAATCCTTGCTTCCCTCACTTGCGTCGCTTCCCTGCGTTTAGTCCCTCCCACCAGGGAAGCATGGAGGGACGCAAGGAAACCACGAGAAGCAGGGAAATGAGTTTTAAGAGCAATGGGACGTCCTTTCCTCCGGAGCGTCACGTGAAGCGACGTCCGTTTGTGATGACGCTGCACAGCTGATCGTCTGACAGCAGCTCTGTCCCCGTTATTTCCACAAACACCCCCCGCCTCAGTTAGTACACATTTACTGACACAAACATTTGTATCATCTGTTGTAGACCCCAATAAATAAAATAAAAATAAGAACTAATTCTCAAAAAAGATAAACGCCATTCTTAAAATTTATAAACGAACAATAGTTTGATTAATATTAATATTGATTAGAGTACACAATAGAAATAAAATAATTGAGAGAAGAAAAAGAGATATGTTATCTATCAAAACCCAGTTAGATTAACATTCATTGGATTGCACACTTTGTTTGTTTGTTTGGATATGTAGTAAATTAACATTTCAATAGCACTTAATGACTGACTGAATGGAAATGACAATAAATGAAAATGTAAAACGAAAAAAGCGATCATGAAAATGTTTCCAAAAAATGAATTAAATGATTTTTGACCACTTTGTTGTTCAGATATATCACATATTTGCAACTAAATGATACATGAATTGAAACAAAACACGGTATAAACTGAGGAGTGACTCCGTGAGGTTCATGTATTTTCTTCACTCTGCTCTCATGTCAAGAAGCATCAGATCAGTGCATGCACTGCATCGTCCAATCAGTGAGCGATACACAGTAAGGGGGCGGGGTGAGTATCTGAGGATTTCATCGGAGGATGGTCTGGTGGTTCCTCGGTTATCGCTCCTCCATCATCGCTCCACGCTCCTCGATCCTCGGTCCTCCGGCAGAAATAAGAGCCATGGGACGGTACTCAAGATGGCGCAGGCAAATCAACTTCCGGTGAGACCGAGGACCGAGGAGCGAGGAAATTAAAATAGTCGACCTGAGAAGCAGCCTAAATGGCGCTGCATCAGACCATCCTCCGATGAAATCCTCAGATACTCGCCCCGCCCCCTTACTGTGTATCGCTCACTGATTGGACGATGCAGTGCATGCACTGATCTCATGCTTCTTGACATGAGAGCAGTTTCCCAGCGGAGTGAAGAAAACACATGAAACTCACGGGACTCACTCCTCAGTTTATACCGTGTTTTGTTTCAATGAATGTTAATCTAACTGGGTTTTGATAGATAACATATCTCTTTTTCTTCTCTCAATTATTTGTATTTTATAATCAATATTAATCAAACTATTGTTCGTTTATACATTTAAAGAATGGCGTTTTGAGAATGAGTTCTTGTTTTTATTTAATGTATTTGGGTCTACAACAGATGATACAAATGTTTGTGTCAGTAAATGTGTACTAACCTTTATAGAAACGACGCAAGTGAGGGAAGCAAGGATTTAATTTAACCGACCTGAGACGGGGCCAATGACACGGAGGATGGTCGGGTGGTTCCTCTGTTATCGTTCCTCCATTATCGCTCCTCGATCCTCGGTCCTCCGGCAGAAATAAGAGCCATGGGCGGATGGCGCAGACAAATCAACTTCCGGTGATACCGAGGACCGAGGAAATGAAAATAGTCTACCTGAGACGCAGCCCCTGACTCTGCATTATGCGCTCCTCCGTCCTCAGTAGCCCCGCTGCGAGGCTCCGGCGAGTTCAGAATTATGGGCAAAGGGAAAGCCACGGATCAATGCTAAATCCGCCACTGACCCTCATGGTGGTATGACCACCCTCATACTACCGTGGTAGGCTTATTCATTTAGTTTGAATAGTTTCAAATAGGACATATTGGACCATAGATTGTGTGTATTAGTGTTTCCTCTAATATGCATTAGAAAGATGAGAAGTAGCCTAGACTAGGTGTATTTAGGGTAGCCTACGTGATGTAGCCTAAAATGACTTAATGTCAATGTCCAGAGCCACTTAGCCTATATCTTATCATATCAACATTTTACACTTTTTTAAGAACAGAAAACATGCAACAAACGGCGTGTCAAATCAGCCACTTAAACAAACAGTTAAACAGGCGACAGAACTGAAGTTAACATCAAAAATATGTTATGCTATATCGTGTCTCAACTTCTGTACTTGTCGCGCGCTCACAGTATCTCTCTCGAGCACTACAGGTATAACGAAATAACATCACTTGTTTGCCTATATTTGTCTCAATAGTGCGGCAGCTGTTATAATACCTTACCTGCATTTTTCAGTTCACTTGATTCACTTAAAATAAAGTGAAGCGATTCAAGCGAACGATCGAAAAGCTCCGACCTGCCGGGAGCCGCAGAGCCGTGGTGGGTTACAGGAAGTATCACAGACCTACACATAGCCTACACTTTTACATTTAAGATACACAAAAATACACAATGAGTACAAACTTCTCTCCCACAACAACAACAAATACTGGTATACTACAACTATCAACCCCAAACGGCAGGTACCAGTTCAGAATATATTTGTAAGAGTCTCACCTGATTGAGATGCGCTCTTTCTTCCACCTTCGTAAAAAAAACAAGAGCTTCAGGTCCAGGCTCAGGCCAGGTCGTCCAGGGTCCGTGTGATAGATGTAATGGTTAGATGTGTTATTGTCCTGAATGCTATAAAGACTTTCTGAAAAAGACAGAGGGAAACGGAAAAGCCCCCGCGCATGCGCACTTTACTTGGACTTTCCGTCTTCAGCACTCGCCATAAACTGTTATTGCTCTTTCCCCAGCCTCCATGTCGGAGGCTTCTTCAGTATTCTACTGCGGTCAACTCAGCCGTCTCTCGCATGTGCTTGGTCAAATGAGCAGCTCTTAATGTTTGAGTGCGCGATTAATATCGTGTTTACGGTAATCGCCGAGAAGCGGAACTGACGGTAGTTAGTATAATAATGTATATTTTGTTCTGCTTTATTTGCGATACAAATAATTTTTACCATAAGTTCTTAAAAAAACTGACACTGTTTGACTCAGTCCTAGTTTGACTGCTACCAACAATAAATAATAAGTACTTTTACTGTGTTTTTTTCTGGGTAATACTCTCAAATTCCCCTCCTGAGAACAAAATCATGCCACTTCTGCTATATTTGATGAGAGATTAAATAATTTTTTGCTATAATTTCTACATGAAATTGGTACTGTTGGACTCAGTACTACTTGGACTACTACCACAAGTACAATCAAGTACTTTTACTGTGTACTTTTTGAGTAATACTCGTTTAAACTCCTGTCCTGAGTACACTAATTAATGTATTCTGCTATCTTTGATAAGAGATACAATTATTATTTGCAATAAGTTCTACATTAAATTCATACTGTTGGACTCAGTACTACTTGGACTAGTACCACAAGTACAATCAAGTGTTTTTACTTTGTACTTTTTGAGTAATACTCGTTTAAACTCCTGTCCCGAGTACAATGTATTCTGCTATCTTTGATGAGAGATAAAATGATTATTTGCAATAAGTTCTACATGAAATTGATACTGTTGGACTCAGTACTACTTGGACTACAAGTACAATCAAGTACTTTTACTGTGTACTTTTTGAGTAATCCTTTGCCAAACTCCCCTCCTGAGTAGTCCAAGTAGTACTAAGTCCAACAGTATCAATTTCATGTAGAACTTATTGCAAAAAATCATTTTATCTCTCATCAAAGATAGCAGAAAACATGCATTATTGTAGTCAGGGGTGGAGTTTGACAAAGGATTACTCAAAAAGAACACAGTAAAAGTACTTGATTGTACTTGTGGTAGTAGTCCAAGTAGTACTTAGTCCAACAGTACCAATTGTATTAAGAACTTATCCAAAATCATTTAATTCCTTATCAAATATTTGTGGTAGTATTCTAACAAGTACTGAGTCCAACAGTACCAATTGTATTAAGAATATATGGTAAAACGTATTTTTATCGAAAAATATAGCACAAAAACATGCATTCTTTTATTCTTGCACCGCTTCTCTGCGATTACCGTAAATACGCTATTAATCGCGCACTCAAACATGAATAGCTGCTCATTTGACCAAGCAAATGCGAGAGACGTCTTATTCTGACGTAGCTAGTATACGTTTTGACCATAGACTGTATATATAAAGGTTTTGACACATTTGTCTTTCTTTTACTAGTATCTCCAAGAGCTGTATAGTATACTGGTGCCTTCACTGCACCTCGTATACTCAACATGTAGGAACGTTTAAATGATGCACATTGTGTTCGGATGTAAACAAAAATTGGCAGACCTGGAAGAATAGTAGACTACACGTTTTTAACCTTAGGACATGAGATGGCATGGAGCCTTTTACGCACTGAAGCTGCAGAATGAAGAGGAGGACATGATGCAACAGGTAGACAATGCAAGCTGAGTTTGCAGCAACACACTCAACCTGCTGGTCTTTTAAAGGTGACCATACTTTTGGGAGGATATTATAATGTAAAAATGAAGAAAAGCTTAGTATATGGTGAGGAAAATAGGAAACATTTTATGTGTACTTTTACTTTCACTTGTAAGTCTTCTCCTAGACAGGAAATGTACTTAAAAAAGTAAAAAGTACTAAATGCAGAAACTGTTGTACTAAAGTTCATTCTTAATTGTAGGACATTTATTTGTAAAATAGTGTTTTGAAAGGGTTGATTAGATTAGATTAAATATACTTTATTGATCCAATTTAATTTGATCTAAGTGAACGATCAGAACTCCTCCTCCATTTTTCTATAGAACACCTCGTTCGTTCCTGTTTAGCTCATGAATTAAAAAAATTCCGACAGCACCTGAAAGCAGCATGAATACAGTGAAATAACCAGCAGGAGCAGTCAAGAGTGGAGCTGAGCGGAGAGCAGACACAGCTTCCTGGATGGAAACAAAACGCAGCAACAAAGCACACACTCTCACACACACATAGACACACTTACACACAGGCCGGACAGAAGCCAGCAGGACCTTTAAACATGTTTTTGGTTGTTCTGTAAGCCCGCTGCGTGTGTGAGACAGCCGTGACGGTGGGTCTGCGGAGCGGAGGGCTTCTACCAGCAGACTGTATCCAACACATGTGTCTGTGCCACAGTGAGAGCACTGCGGCTGTGGATCTTGACTCCTACACCCAGTGGTCCACGGGAAAGGTAGGTTCCCCTCCCTCCTCTGCTCATCTGCAACACACAACATCCATTACTATACGTTTAAACTCCATGCCTGCGTAGAGTTTTGACCTGTACGAGAATGCAACCTTGAAAGAAATGCAGAAATGTCAGATTTCATGTGTGGTCTGCTTGAATGCACTGTTACATATGATGCATTACACTGTCATACTAACCTCTGGGTAATTATTGAATAATATGCATATCACAACAAGGAGTATTACTTAAGGAATACACCTTTATATCACTGTCATTTTAATGAATATCCACCATACTGATTATGTTTAAACTGATGTAGAGTAACTGCATTAGCATTTGTATAATCATCATCATGTTGCTGTTTTAACTCGGTATGCTCTTATTTAAGGCTGTGTCCCAAAATCATGTTATAGGGCCAGAAATACAGAACAGGGAGGGATTGTAGCTGTACAAATGATGCCATATAGATTCTGCTACACACTCCCTGAACTCCCAGCTGCCTCCTTCCCAACATAGTGGCAGCCTGTGTAGAAAGCAGCAGCAGCTTCTCAATGGGCAGATCTGTTTTTCCGTTTCTGAAATGGTCAACAATGCTGCTTTGATCCCCATAGCTGGAATGCCGTTTAAACCCTGAGCCTATAGGACTGCTAATCACTTAAATGAACCGCTCCACACCTTGAAGGAACTATTAACACTCACAAGGGCGTTTTATAAATGAATAGCTCATACTTATTCTCACATATAACTGCTTGCTCAGGGGCAGGGACTGCTGCCAAGATGGGTTATTGAAAGATCTTCTGACATTTAATATATGTAGTCCCATATGCAAATATTCGGATTGGAAATGCTTCTGCAACAGCGTTCAGTAATCCTCAAACTCGTTCATGCAAACTTAAATCTGTTCATTGTGTTTAATTGGAATCAGACCGCCGTGAAGTATTGATGAATTCTACATTTCCCAGTCAATCAAACTGCTTTTTACCTGTCACATTAAAGGTGGAACAACACTCTTCGTCTGCTGTTCTGAGATAAAATCACTTCAAACAGCTTCATCTGTTGACACCCAGGTCATGTCGAAAGTAAAAGTTGTTCAGGAACGAAAGGCTTTGGAGTTGCCATGCAGCAAAGTTAGCTGACTAGAGACCTATCATTTCCCCATGTGGCTGCTTATGCTCAGGCAGGAGAGGATTGTATTGTGGGATGACGACTGCAGCCTGGCTGGATGCAGTGCAACATGACTGTGCAGAAATACCAACGTGATGCTACACAAGCTCCATTATCACTCTTTTGCATGTATGGTCCTGCTGATCTGTAGCACGTAATAAAAGAGCGCTGTGAGAAGAATTTAGGACACCAGTGTTGGCTGCATTGATTTAGCTGGCCCAAAATGTCCTGCCAACCTCAACAGCCCGCTGAAATGGAGAACATTGTGTGTAGGTTGGACTAACGTGTGATTTCAACAGGCTGCGGGGTGTGTTTTTAACGCCACCGCTTCCTGTGTGACCCCGTTCTGTGTCCAACCACTGTTATCTGCAGGATTAATCGCTAATCCCAGATTATGAGTTTATTATTTCTCATGCTTTTTTGGGATTGGACAAACCCAAAGGGATTGGATATTGGGTTTGTGACTTTGGTTGCCTTTAACAATAGATGTTCCTTTTATTATCCACCAACCCCTCTCCTGCTGTCCCAACATATACAACTAGCGCATTATGTTTGATAGCTGAGGGCGGAAATCACAGATTATATTTATGCCTGATGCTGTAGTAGAGCAGATTTAGTGAAATATTGCTTTTTGTTGTCTGTTGGTCGGTTGGGTTTACCGCTTTGGTCTAGGCAGAAATATTTCAACAACTATTACATGGATTGGCAACTTTGTGCAGACATTCATGGTGTCAAGTGGCTGAATCCTAATGTTGTTTCCCTTCAGTTTCCGCTTTATTGTAGTTTTGGGCTAATTAGCAAATGTCGGCATGCTAACATGCTAAACTACGAAGGTGGATATGTAGATGTGAACATTTGATCTGTGAAACACTAGCATGTAAGCCCTTGTATTATGAGCATAATTTCATGATTGTTGGTCTCATCCAATGGCAATTTTCACATTAAAAACACAAATGTTACATTTTTTTACTTTGCTCAACTACATTTTTCAAAATGGTGTGAGATCTGAGAAATATGAAATGTTGACTATCCGGATTCTTCTCTCTTTAGTCTGACTAAAGACTATTTCAGTCTAACACTTTTAAAACATACAATTGATAAGAGAGAGTTGACCTGTTTTCCATCTTTCTACTACCCTCTGCCCAATGTTGAAATGACGTGCCTATAACCAAAACGTTTCTACTGTACCTACTATGGATACACAGGCATGTATTTACTTTGTAACTAAAAACTCGACAATCAGTCCTGCCAGAGTGAATGAGATCTGGTCAATAACTGAACACTCAGTAAACACAGACCTTGGACTTTGGCATTAAATATGCCGTGATGAGTAATCAATAATGCAGCAGTAATTACACATAATTATGTTTTGCTTCATGCACCGGGCAGCTTTAAACAGTGACTAATTCATCTCTCAGGTAACAAGACAATGAAATGCCTCAGGGAGGGGTGAAGTCATGTTGGTACACTGGTTACCAAAAGAGATGACAGGTTCCAGGAACAGAGCAGTGTTGTCATAAGGCCTGGCTATTATGTCAACAGTATCGAAGAGGAAGTGGTATACCTGCACTAAGGAGACAAGTTTCTGCTTTCAGGAACATGGAGGCTGTGGCTCCTCTCCATCCCCAGCAGAGGGGCTAGGAGCAGCCTGATCCCTCCCTCACCCACCTGCATCGCCCCATCATGGCCAGCAGGAGTCCCACCCTGATTCGGGACGCCGGGAATTCGCTGGGGACCCCTGAGGCCGGGGCCAACCCTCGTCCAGGGCCCTTCTGCAAGCTGTGCCTCAGCGAGCAGCCGTCTGCAGCCACCAGGGAACTCCAGAGCTGCAACTGTGTCTTCTGCACAGCGGTAAGTAAAGACAAACGAATGGCAGACATTTACAATAGATAATGCTTATGGTATTAGCAGAACTACAACAGGATGTTGGCTAATATGGAAATTAAACATGTGAACTTTATTACTGAAACAGAGCGGGTGACTCAAGGCTTTATTCAGATCCGGATCATCTTCTGATATTGCTTATGCTTTTAGTCACTTTCCGTAGGCGTTGAAGATTTCACAAAAAAGGGATCCGACTCTGAACTATTCCTTGGGCAATTTAGGCAAATCTCCAACTTTTAAATTACTTGGGATGGGATGCTCCGTTTTATTGCAGCCCCATTACTGCTTTCGGATCCAAAAATAGATCATTTTATTGGCACATTGCATTTTACAGCGCTGGTGAAATGAATTGGTTTCATCACAGGAAGGCTTTACCTCACATTTACTTTCTTTGTCTTTGGAATTTCTTGCGATTTATCACAGCTGTTGGCATTTGTTAGAGTGGAAATAGAGACGTTTTTTTCTTAAACTCATCAGTATGAAGCAAACATTGACACAATGTACTGGTTAGAACAGGGGTGCCCAACCTTTTTTGAACCGAGAGCTACTTTTAAAGTTGCCAGTCTGCCGAGATCTACCAGTCCAAATAGAGAGGCGTAGCCATTACTGACAGCCAGGTAAATACACACTTCTACTTGTATAAAACTGACCTTTGTACGATGAATACTTCATAAAATACTGCAGATCCTTTATCTTACCTCTTTCTAATCTACACACATACAAGTATTTAACTGAAGTTACACAACAGTGTTGTTGATACAGAGTTGGAGTTTATTCACACGTCACAAACTACAGTGGGTAATGTTTTCAAGAAACATTGAAGTGCTGCCACATATGACACAGGAAAAAAGAAAAGACTCTGAACCCTTTCTTTGCCATTATATAAACATAGTGTTGCTACAAAAGTATAAATTAGGCTTACTAATAAGACAACTCAGATCTGAACTACACAGGAATCTGCTGCCAAAGTGCAATAAAAAAGACAAAATTAATAGAATCAAACCCTTTTTTTGTTGCATTTTAGTAGATTATAAAAATAAATGCCTTTAAAATAGGATGCAAGTAACACTAGTTTCTTAACATGAATTGATAATAGACTATAATCAATTTAAACAGAACAGATCTTAATGTTTGCATTCTTATACCATTTTGTACAATAATTATAATGAATAAGTTCAAACAAACTAAAACTTACAGCTGATTAATAACGATATCTAACTTGAATAAAAAACCTGTTGAAATGCTACTGTTATGTTTACTGTCCCCAAAAAGCGCGTCGGCAGCCTCCAGGAATGCTTCTTACACAACTTCGCCGTCTTTGAAAGACTTCATGTGTTTCGCAAGAACGTGACTGACGATAAGATGCTCTGGTAGCAGCCTTGCTCTTGTTGTTGGGCCTGGTGAAAATGGACTGCTGTGCATTTAGCTGTCCTTTCAGGCCCCTCCCCTTTTGGGAGCGTAGGGCAGAATTAGGAGGGAATTCCGTCTCGTAGCGTTTGTGCACTGTTTTGAAATGCCGCTCCTAAATTACCCTTCTTCGATAAAGCCACGCTCGCATTGCAGATGAGACAGATGGACTTTGAATTGGAATAGATACAAAAATAATCATCCTCCCACTCGGAGTGAAAATTATATATTTGGGGCTTTTTTGCTTCTGCCATTGCTGTCTTGTGTGTGTGCGGACTGTCACTCCTGTTGACACGGAAAACGTCAGCGAACTAGTGCCCACTGCCCACAAGCCACCCCCCGACACATCACGCCGGCCAATCACAAAGCTTTGATGCGTTCAAGTGCATTATTCTGGCACAGGAAGATGATGTTATAGGACATTAACGATAAAACAGAATATTGTTGTTCTATTTTTAGACACATCTCGCGATCGACTGGGAATCTCCCCGCGATCGACCGGTCGATCGCGATCGACCGGTCGATCGCGATCGACTGGTTGGGCACCTTTGGGTTAGAAGAATGATGACAACATCATTTAGATTGATGTTGTCAATATTGGTTCCCCATAAGCTCGCCCTAACTGTGCAGTAGTGTAAATAAAGCTTTGATTTGAAGAAGAAGAAGATTCAACTTATTGTCATTACGTAGTACAGGTAGTATGTAATGAAACGGTTTCTCTGCATTTGACCCATCCTAGTGTTAGGAGCAGTGGGCTGCCATTATGAACGGTGCCTTGCTCAGGGACACCTCGGTAGCACTTGGTCTTTCCGGGACTTGAACTGGTGACCTTCCAGTTACCAAGTCAAGTCGCTATGGACTTCGCCACCACCGCTATTTATGGCAAATAGTGGAAAGAAACCCACAGTGTGACCTAACACTAGCTCCAAAAGTTAGCAATTATCGCTATCAAGTTTCCATTTGCATAAAGCTTTAAACTACAATTAAGTTTTGCAATTAGTTCTATTAACATTGAGAATATGTTACAAAATAATACATTTGAATACATTTCTTGCTTGAAAATGGAAAGCGATCTAGCAACAGCGGCACCAAAAAAGTTGGTCAGGGCCACAAGTTCTTAAGAAAGCCTGGCAGCTGTTTCATTCCTTTTAAAAGAGAAGAAGAGCTGTCGGTAGAACATAGAGCTGAATCACTATAATAGAAGCCCGTGGCAGTCTGATACGTGCCTGTCTGGCATGTCCAACTGAGATGTTGCCGTTGTGCCCTGACACAGAGAGCTGGATCGTGGCAGGTGTTAATCTCTGCCCGAGGAGGCTAAGTTGTCAGTGTTGCTCGCACAAGGTCACACAGATAATACACACACACACAGTGTCACGGGGGAACTGCTTGGAAAAGAGAAACTGTAAACACACAGTCTGGTTCCAGAAAATAGACAATTGGGTTTTTTTCCTGCTTTGTTTTTAGATCATTTGTAATGTCAAAGCCCATGGTTAGCACATGATAAGCATAAGTTAGCGCGTACGATTGATTCTAAAACACATTGCGAGATAACTTTGTTTTCCACTGAAAAGTGACTTATTTTCAGTTCCGCTAAATTGTCTGCCTTTGCGCAATGTTTATTAAGTTCCCCCTACACTTCCATATTTCTTCACTGAGGCAACATATGACTTTTGACGTGTGGATGCTGAAAAGATGTCCATGTTTATGTTGCATTTAGTTTTTTTCATTCTTATTTTCCCTGTACTTTAATACTGATGTAAAATTATGGACAGTTAAGAAAATGTTATTGTGAAAATGTTGAAATGTATTACTATTAACAATTGCGCTATGGTACAATTGTCTCTGTTCCATTCAGTATCCAGGCTAATGCTGCTGTGTTGTCTGTCCCTCTCCAGTGTTTGGAGCAGTATGTTCGGCTTGCCATCCTGGAGGGCGGGGGGGCACCCATCACCTGCCCAGATATGGCCTGCCAAAAGGCTGGAGTGCTACTGGACTCTGAGGTATGCCCTGCTAAACACCAATGATATGTAGGTCATAAGTGAAACCAAATAAAGCCATCAGAGGCCAATACAAACTGATCTTCATGGACAAATGTTGAAATAAACTTTATTTTTAAATGTCTAAGTTGCTGCAGAGTTTTCTATAGACAATTGAAGTTGTATTTTCACCCTCAAGTTTTTCGAGCTGTGTGGGCAGGGTTAATTAAGTGTTGTGAAAATGCTGTGAACCAGCAGTGATGGCATTACTGAGAGAAGTCTTCAGAAGTGTCAGACAGAAAGTGAAACTCTGTGAGCTCATGTCACACATCGTGGATCCCACACAGTAAACACGTCAGAGAAGGAGTTCAGACTGATTCTCAAACAAATGGAAATACCGCTTCTCACGTCCTCATTTTAAAGGTTTTGAAAACCACTGCAAGACTCTCTGGACTTCCTACTGAGTTGATTTTACTTTTTGATTTAAATGCCGTTATCCAGTAGAAAATAGTACAGATGTTAGACAAACAAATATTAATAAATAAGCCCTGCGAGCAGTTTTGATACATATTTAAGTCTGTTTTTAGTCTTAAAAGGTTTAAATCTGGCCTGTGGGACCTTTATGTGTGTCGTACCCTATATTGCCACCCTAACAATTCTTCTCTATAAAACAGGCTAAACTGGCCCACATATCTTTAAAATAATTAAAAGAAGACAGAAATAATGTTACCATCGTGCTGGTTTGAAAAATTGACCAATTGGCATTTCTTACTGTAAGCTTATGGTGCTTTGAGCAAACATACTCAGTATTTCCAGACTCATTATTTCCAGATTAGCATCTTATTTGTTGATCATGTGTCATTTTGCAGTTTTTACTACAACATGGATTACATTATAATTGTGGCTTTGCTGCCTTTTTTCATTTAGAAAATGTTGCATTTGACTTCTTGTCTTATAATGTAGCAAAAATATTGTAGCAAATCAGTTGTAATGTGACCAGTTGACTGATGACCCTTGAGGCACCAGCTTTCAGCAATCAAAATACCAAAATGGCCTAATTAAAAAAAATAAAATGTATTTTTTCAATTATTCATCCATTATGAATTGATCATACTTATTGCATGCACACAAAATACAATGTCACAGCTCCGAGTGTCAACAACATGACTAAAGTGTCTCTCTTGGTTCTGTGATTGCAGATAGCCAGCTTGGCCTCGGAGGATCAGGTGGAGCTGTATCAGCGTCTGAAGTTTGAGAGAGGTAGGTATTGTCGCATTAGCATGTAGATGACTTGTGACAGGCATTGGGCTATTTCAGGTCGCACTTCAGCTGGTGTTATTACACCAAGCAGCAAGTGCCGAGCTTTACGTGTCTGGGATCATGTATAATGTATAATCTCTTTTCTATTCTGCTCTGGTCCAGTGTTACTCAGGAGGTTGCTGAAGCTGTGGCTTTGTTACATTCAATTATAGCAAACATGAGGTTTATGTAACTATTATTTGAAATTGAAGTGTTTCAGGTACCTTTGTGTAGCTGATTGCACCAGTACTTGTGGGAATGTCTGTCAGGACAGATTGTATCAGTTTGGCCTGGGAGAGAATAACTGTTGAAAAAGGTTGCCAGATTTCTGTTATTGAAAGCATTTCATTGTTTATTTGTATCCTTCTTTCCTCATAAGCTACTTACAAGGTTGTTTGTCTCAGTTTGTAAGTCGGCTCACCAATTTATTCCAAGTTCATTTGAATTGAATGGATTGTCCTAAAAATTGTGATAATTTCTAGTAACTTTTTTCCTTTGAAATTAATAATACTCCCACCAGCCTCTGCAACCTACTTGTTTTTTAGCACAAATTATCAAATGATGACATGCTAACACTCTAAACTAAGATGGTGAATGTCGAAACACATTACCTGCAAAACATCAGCATGCTAACATTGAAATTGTGAACATGTTAGCCTTCTGACATTAGCCTTTACCTCCAACCAGTGTTGTGCCTAATGTTCCTTGCAGATGGTCACTAGCATGACGACAGTAAGTCATGTTGTTTAAAATGTTTTTCAGTATAACAAATGGCTATATTCACATAGACTTAATAATACAGACCTTTGTTTACCTGTTTTCAGTGTTTAGCATCAGGGGCGGACTGGCCATTGGGAATACCTTTTTTTTTGCCTGAATCCTACCGGCCCACATTTGTAAGTGTTCCGGCCACTCCCTTTTTTTTTTTTTGCTTACCTAAATCCTACCGGCCCACATTTGTAAGTGTTCCGGCCCAGCCCAGCCCAGCCCAGTGGGGTGTGGCCCACTGGGCTGGGCTGGGCCGTTTTGGGCCGTTTTGGGCTGGGCCGTCTGGGCACACATCAGGCCCGTAGCAGCTGTCACCGATCAGGAGTGAGGGACTGAGAGACCTAGCTGGCAGTTGCTTACAGATGGATAAACAAGCTCCAAAGCGTAAAGGCGTTTTTGTATAGTTTGTGTATACAGTATATAGTATTGTCGCGAGCCCTGGGTTCAGAGGGAGGGGCTTGCATAGGGGAGGGGGGGGGGGGGGCTTGGCAGGGAAACGGGGTTCAGGGGGAGTGGCTGTACGGCTGTACCCGAAGGATAGAAAAGGTGGAAGTGACGTCTGACTCAGAGGTCGCGCGGCTGTGGAGAAGAACGTGTTGCCCACATTCTGTTACTGAGTTTAAGCTAGTTAGCTAGCAGTTTATTGTTTTGGGTGCAGTCACTTTTGCCTCCACTTGCTGTTCAAATAAATGTTGAAAGAAAAAGTAAATCGGTTTACAGTTCTGTTTTAATATGGAAGAAGAAGAAGAGAAGAAGAAGAAGAAGAAGAAGAAGAAGAAGAAGAAGAAGAAGAAGAAGAAGAAGAAGAAGAAGAAGAAGAGAAGAAGAAGAAGAAGAAGAAGAAGAAGAAGAAGAAGAAGAAGAAGAAGAAGAGGAGAAGAAGAACGAAGAAGAATAAAAGAAGAAGAAGAAGAAGAAGAAGAAAAGAGAAGAAGAAGAAGAATTGGGAGGGATTAAAACCCTCTTTAAATGGTCACACATGCAGAGCACACAGCACACACAGTGAAATGTGTTCTCTGCTTTTAACCCATCCTAGTACCAGGAGTCTAGTACTAGGAGTAGTGGGCAGCTATTGTACAGCGCCCGCGGAGCAATGGGAGTGAGGGGGCAAATTGGGTCAAAATGTTATTGCATCAATGATCTGTTAACATTAAAATCACTAAATATATGCTGTAACTATTTTGCTCTAGGCAACTCAAGGGCTCAGGTAATGTGATTACTATATGAATAATTGTCGAAAATAACATAAAATGCATAGGGTTTTTTGTTAAGTAACATACTTTCGTCGCCGGCCGGCCGATACATGCCGCGCATTAAGTGGGCCTGTCCGTCAATTAATCCCCGGGCCACTTTTCCCCCCAGTCCGCCCCTGTTTAGCATGCTAACACACAGCTCCATGTTGCCATTTTGAGCATGTTAGCATGCTGACGATAGCAATTAGTTCAAAACACCGTTGACCCAAGTCTCCCAAAGAGGGAATTTTGTCGATAGTTTGACTTTGTATTGAATTTGATTGTTTAGTCAAAGTGTTGTCCTATCCTTTCTGAAGTGCACAAAGTGGTGTTGTAAGAAATGTTTATTTGTAAGACATATTTCTTGCCTGACTTGTCAAACAAATGTTTATTGGCCTGATAGGAATAATTGAATTAATGGTAGTAATACTTATATACAGTATATTCATACTGTTTATATTAGAACATACCTTTATTTTGTGTGTTAAGAACTAGGAACTGTGTTAGAAGGTTGAGGGAGTGACACACTCACTGTTAGTAAGACAGTGAAGTATCTGTGTTTTTTCAAATCTTATGTAAGAGATCAGTTGTCCAGCACTGAAGTATCTGTGTTTTGTTATATCTTATGTTAGAGATCTGTTGTCCAGCACTAACAATGTGTTCCAGATTAGTAGTATAACTAATTCTAGACTACTGGTGGTTTTGTTTGAAAGAGCAGGCCTAATACTAGTATAACTGGGTTTATAGAACAGCAAAACGTGTTTATTTTGTCTGTAAAATCTGCAGCTTCTTGATGTCTTCTTCCCTGCCCATCCCTCTGTGCTTTCTGCAGGAGTGAAGTTGGACCCCAGTAAGGCCTGGTGTCCGGTGCTTGAGTGCCAGGCGGTGTGCAGTGTGCAGCAGAGCAGTGAGGGCCAGCCTGCCGCTGTGCCCTGCCCCACCTGTCACACCGTCTTCTGCTCCGGGTGCAGAGGGCCCTGGCTCGACGACCACACCTGCCCTGAGCAGCAGCCCATGATGTCGCCGTCACTCGCTCGTGAAAGCAGGTCAGTAAGCCACCGTTTGTTCCACCTCCCGCAGCAGCCACAGAGTCAGATAATGAAAATGAAACTGTGCTGAAAAACGTGTTAGTTCAGGTCACTGGGAGTCTACGAAGAAACACTGCTGTAAACAGACTGAATCATGATTCCAATAATGGGTTTCAAAAACATGTATTCCATGCTATTGCTACGTTTAATATTACTTTATAAGATATTGTATTACCTTCATATTTATCCTATTTATCCCTTTATCTTATTGTATCAGAACAATCCAGTCCTATTCTTAATATAAAAACACCTGACAGTTATTGTAGCTGGATATTTACATCGAATGGATTGTACAAGTAATGTGTAGTCCATCATGTCCCAGTAGAGCTCTGGGCTGAATATGCAGTAAACATTATTTTAGGATTAATAGCTTAGTATTCCTCAGCAGGGCCCGGTGGGTAGTCCCCGCTGTAAAGCTACATTTTACAGTTTCTCTGCCAGAACGGCTGATGTCATTGGGGAGTCACTGACTTATATTGGAATTCCATTGTCTCTGTGCCAAAGGGAGGAGGGGGGTGGGCACGTAGCCACGTCGTGTACAGAAGGAGCACTGCAGTAAAGGTGTCTGCAGTGTGCGGTGAAGGCGAGAGCAGGCACGAGGAGAATTTGGGGAGATTAACTATAAGTTTGAATTTGAGAGCATGATTTATATTTGCTTGCAGGTTTAGTCGTTAAACATAATGTTATTGAACCAGAATCATAGCCAGTACCTTAGAAACACCGCAGTAAGGATTCACTAGCCAACAAAAAGGATTTACAAGATGTAATTAAATCATTGTGTCTACCTTTATGATGATGTATTGGTTTGTTGTATCTAATGATAACAACATTTAATTTAATATAGGGATTTGTCATTATTCTGAATAAGCAAGCAACTAGTGATATATTTGTTCCGTTAACTTTTTGTTCTCCGTTCTACAGAGAAACGCTAATGGTTGCTAGGGTTTTTCACATTTATAGGAAACACATCAACATTTTTGTGGCAACTTTTGTGGTCTTATTTGCTGGCACTGCCGATGGGAAATAGCGTTGGCATTCTTAATCCCCCCTGCAAAGCCCCAACTCACTTGATTGCTTTTCCATGATCAGCAGAGTTAGTGAATAATAAAGAAGAAAAACGTGCAGGCAGAAATTGGCACTGCTTGAAATTAAAGTTGCTCTAACCTTTGTTTTCATTTATAAAGAGTGAGGAAAACACTGCGTATTAGTAAGAGCATCACCACCTGAGCTTGTGGTTCTGGTTTTATTGCACACACCTTTTCTGTTTTGTTTCCATCATGTTTTTCAGCTGTAACACGCAGCTGTTTTAAACAAGAATTATCTTATTTACGCCAAGCACACTACCTGTCGAGAGCCAAATGGCTTACACAAAAATGTTGCTAATAGAAGAGATTCACCAAATTAGAGAATAAAGAAGAGTGAATATGGGATTTACATCCTTCAGATAGCTGTAAACATCCTTCTTAATAAATGCCAATATTGCTATGTTTGTTCTGGATGTTGAAATAGGCAATTGTTTGCTAAGCAGTTAGCCATAACAACTTTAAAAGTTGTAAATATATAAACATTTTTAAATGTATAAATAATTTCCCCTAGTGCAAAGGAAGCATTGACCCTAAAACCTGTGGCTTTCTAAACATATCTGGAGACTTCGGATGCCTTCATGGCTTCATACTGCACATCTGACGTCTCTCCACTGTGTTTCTCTAGGCTGCGCTCCGACAGCGACTCTGACATGCCCATCAAGCAGTGTCCTATGTGTGCTATCTACATCGAGAGGAACCAGGGATGTGCACAGATGCTGTGTAAGAGCTGCAAGCACACCTTCTGCTGGTACTGTCTGCAGAACCTGGATGTAAGTCTCTCCTGATGCCTAACACACATGGTTTTTAACACAAGCTAAACTATACTGCCTCCAACATCTCCTCAGCCTCTGCTTCTCTATCTTTAGATTGTTTTCTACATTTCTTGCTGAATACTAGATAACAGTGGTGAAATGTAACTGTAATCTTTTCCTACTTCATTTAGACCACTAGTTCCCATTGTATTATTTTACTCCACTAGATTGATTTAATATCCTTAGTTGTAGTTAGTCTGCATGTTCAGTTTATTTTTGAAAAGAACAAACAAATAAATATGAATGTTATTTTTTATAGTTGTGAACTTTTGAATGTACAAGCTACCCAGCAGACAAACAGAATACAAATGTTCACCCGTTTCCAGCTTTAGAATTAAAGTGATCAAAACAATAATGCATCAATAACTATTTTCCATTAATATTATATATATTATTCTGAGATGGAGAATTCTGCACAATGAGTACTTTTGGTAATGCATGACTTTTATTAGTAAACTAGAATGTGTACAATGTGTTTGCTACTTTGACTTAAGTACAAACGCTTTGTACTTCTTCCACTTCTGCTGAATAATATATTTCTTGTCTAACCAAGGATATTTCACAATTGCAGGGCGATATCTTCCTGAGGCATTATGATAAGGGGCCGTGCAGGAACAAGCTGGGACACTCACGGGCCTCGGTGATGTGGAACAGAACGCAGGTGAGGACACAGCAGACGGCAGACATGCAGTTTTATTTCAGGGTTGTGATGAGGCTTGACATTGTCTGAATGGATTAGCCTACAGAGCCTGACCACTCATCCGTGTGGTCAGTTATAACTGGAATGGGTTTGATTTGAGTAAAAGTGTGCCATCACACAGCAGGGATTGGACGTTAAAGATTTTGATCTCCATGCTCCATGCTGTTTTCACTGTTTGGCTCTCAAATCAATGATTCACGGTTGGAATTTCTCTCCAGTGAGGACGGCACAGGTATCTACGCAGGACAATAACGCTTACAGCCCGCTTTAAAAATGTAAAAACAAAAGCTGCAAATTATACATAACTATCAATTTTCCCTTTAGGTGAGACACTACAGATGAATATGGTTTTAACTAAGAAATGTCACTTTGAAGCTTTCCTGGTTTATTACCTACATTTTAGGTAAAAATATGCAAATTAGCCTTCCTATTGCAGATGTGCTTTCAACATTCATTCATTTCCAGAACAGAAATCCCAGTGTTGGATAAAGCCAGCCTGGGCATTCTTATTTAATTCTTAATATTTGTGAAAATATTAGAGTCAAAGATTCAATCCATAGTAGTTTTGGATATCCTTTGTGTCTCTCCAATAATATAAAAAATACTCTGTCTTGAGTAATATATGAACAAATCCCTATCCTTTTGTAGCTGTAGTGTCTCTCTTTATAGACCCATACACTCTGTTCTAGCACCATGTTTGTGTTAATAGTCCCAAAATAGTCCTTTACCAGACATTAAACTGAACTAATCCCAGTGCTAATCTCAAATTCCTGCCCTGTATCAAAACCATAAGCCGCCGGACCTACTTTTTCTACACCTCTGCTGCCCTGATGCCATTATCGCATGATTCCTATTAAGATTGCAGCGGTCCTCTTGATTCTTCCTCAGCGTGTGTCTGCATTGATACGTGTCTGGAGAGTGGACGTACAACCCTGCAGTTGTTCCTTCCAGAACAACTCCTGACAAACTCGGTTTACACTCTTGCGCGACCAGTTCCTGAAGTTTTACAATCTGCCGTCACACATTCCTCTGACAGTGTTACTCCTTTACTGCCTGCAAACACTGCAGTGGTGACTACATCTTAAGTATACTGTGAAACTGGAACGAAGGGGCCTAGCCAAATAATTATAAATAACCTTAGACAAGACATAAAAAGACACATATGGACAGCCGTGTCCATGCACTTTTGGCTATGTAATGTAGAATAGTGTTGGCAGGGGAAAACACGTTTTCAGTCTCAATTAGTTTGAATATATTGTATTGAGATCATGGTCTTTGTAGACACCTTCACTACAGCTACCCACAATCCAATGTTATTGGTTTTCAGTTTCAAATACATAAAGCATTACCATTACATACATTCTATAATCCTACATACTACAAAAATGTAGTTTAGCAACAATCCTATTTGTTGACAGTAAATACACCAACTTGTCAAAAAATTACAATTTTAAACTAGTACATTGGTGTTAAAATCAATCAGCACCCTCGAGGCCTGAAAGGTGAAGACAATGTAGAAGTGCCTTGAATTATTTCTAATGACAAACAGCAGATTGCGAAAGAAAATCTGATTGTATAAAAGTCTATGAGAAATTGATCCTACTTCCCACTTGATTTATTGCCCAAGTAAGCATTTTCCTAATGAGTTAATGATCTCAATTGCTAGTTCCATGTGGTCTTCAATACAGCATGATGGCCACTTTGTAAATTAAAGTCCCAAATTAGTCAAATAGAAGAGAAAGCCGCATATGCTTTAGGGCGGGGCTACGTTGATGTTGACAGGGCGCTACTGTCAGCGCTGTCTGATCTGGGGGTTATCTGTGTTTTCATATTGGTACTTTAACCCTTTCACACTGAGTTTCACTTCATGAAAGTTAATTATTACATTTTGGCTACCTAGAAATGTATTTTTAAGCATTTGGTTGTAGAGACAATTTCTTGCGCCACTTCTGGTATAAAAAAACCAAGATGGAGACAGCTAATATGCCAAACTCAAGGCTCCCATAAACAAATGGCTCACAGTGACTACGTTCATTTCTTATTTACAGTCTATGTTTAAAATAATACATGTATCACTAATTATTAAATGTAAGAACTGTGGGTGGCAAAAGAACCATGCAAAGTGTTGTAGCTGACATGTTAGCATATTTACAAATCCAGCCTTCTTAAAGCAACATTAGCATTGATTTGGAATTGGGTTTCTGTCCAACTGTCAGTCCTATTTACTCTTGTTAAGGCCCTGCTTTGGACTCCACCAACTCTCTTTACTGTTTAGTGCAGAGCAGGTAGTGTATGATGGGTTTATTAATACCGTTTCACTGAAAACAAGGTTAAAGAGCAGTGATACCAAACCAAAGCCATAACGGAGGGGCCATAAAATCCAATCAATGATCCAAAAATGTCTAAAAACGCTCCCTCGATGTGACTGCAGAACTTGGTGATCATTATTGACTAAGTGCAACCCCTTACATATGACTCATAATCATTTGATCCAGTGTTTATAAAAAACATTTGCTGTGTTGTCTCCCAGGTGGTGGGTATCCTGGTGGGTGTTAGCATCATCGGACTGGTCACGTCTCCGCTCATCCTGCTGGCCTCTCCCATCATCCTCTGCTGCCTCTGCAAGCCCTGCAGCGGGAAGAAGACCAAGAAGAAGAAGAAGAAGAAGGACCTCAGCCAGCCAGACTCCTCCACATCATAGCAGCTCGCCTTCTCATCTGCCCCTCCCAAGGAAACCACGAGAGGGCGAGAGCTGCATGGTGGAAAATAATAAAGTTGGAATGACAATGGATACATTTTTCATGACTCAACGGACTGGGAACCTTGTCAGTGGTTCAATAAGTGCAGATCTGCTTGAACTGCTAAAACTACAAGTACTTTATATGGTGGAAGTGTAAATATGAGGAGAATGAATGTAACTCACCTGGTTGTTTTCAGATGCACAACAGGTACTAAGGAGACAGTGGCGACTGTGAGTTTTCCTGGACACACACACACACACACACACACACACACACACACACACACACACACACACACACACACACACACACACACACACACACACACACACACACACACACACACACACACACACACACACACACACACACACACACACACACACACACACACATACAAACAAATGCAACGCCACCCTCATGTGCCAAACTTCATGATGCCAAACCAGAGGAGTTAGGTGCTCAAGTGCCTCACTCCACAGTGCCTGGTGCTTGGTGGTATTTGTTTTGCCTTCCATTCTATCTTTATCTTATGCAAAAATGTTAGCATTATGAAAATTAAGAATTAGGATTACAGGGGTTATAAAACCTTAAACAATGCAAAACATTCTTTCATAAAGGGTGAAGGCTAACGCCCGGCGTCATGTGTGCACTGTATATTCTGTACTAATATGAAACATGATAGGGCTTCAACGGTGCACAGAGAACTTTCCTTCTGCTAATGTTTGTTGTTTCCACCTGGAATACGTTCCAGACCAAAGGCTCTTAAGAATCACGTGTTCTTTTCTAAAAGTGTGTCAATGTGTATTTATGGGTTATGTGTGTATGGTTATCATTTATACATTTTCGTTGATGTTTCTGCATCAGATATTTTCTAAAAAAGCGCCATTGTAATTGAAATAAACATACTATATTGAACATGAATCAGATGGTATTGTGTTTGGTCGTGACATGTAGTATTTGAGAGATGGAAAAGTCTTCATCCTTCTTCCTACAAGCTCCAGGTGTCATGGATGGTATGAATTGTTATTTTAATTATTTATTTATTTCTAAGTATATATATTTACATAATTTTAAGTATATAAGTGTTTTTACAAAATAATTTAAAAAATCTATTTATCTAAAATATTTGTACTATTACTTTACACAGAGGAACAAGTAATACACTTGTATGATAGTAGTATAACATACTTTGGAATATTTTACTAACGAATAAACAAATTAATAAGTAAGAGCATTCATAGCATATTCTTATATAATTGTTAACATAAACATAAATACTGTATATCAACTTTATGATAGAAAATATACATGTTATGTTTGTGTTTTGTAAAAAGTTACAAAAAAATATGCTACTGGCCCAACTCTCACCTCAAGCACAATAAGTTCAAGCATTACAAATGGCTCTTGGAAACACACATGAACACGGTCCTGATATTGTTAGTGTTATGACATCCTTTTAGAATCATATAACTCAAGATTAAAGATAAGACATGTTTTAGTTACAGCAGCATAAAAAACATGGCATTGCAAATAATTAGAAATTAAAAAGAGGAGAAAATAAACAATTATAAAATAGAAACATCTAAAAATAGAAAATAAAGTTGATCGTGAAGATAACAATCTGTAAACTATCTGACTAATAAAACAGTTTATAGCTAACACAATATAAAAGTAGGATATTATTTACATTAAGTGTGCAATGTAAAATGTACAGTATAAAAAGTATATATCTTATGACAGTACCAGTCAAACGTTTGGACACACCTGTTCATTCAATGTTTTTTGTTTATTTAAAATGTTTTTCTACTTTGTAGATTAATACTGAAGACATCAAAACTGTGAAAGAACACATATGGAATTGTCTCGTTAACAAAAAAGTGTTAAAAAATCCAGAATAGGATTTTTTTAGGTTCTTCAAAGTAGCCCCCTTTTGCCTTGATGACAGTTTTGCACAATCTTGGCTTCTCTCAGTCAGCTTCATGAGGTCGTCACCTGGAATGGTTTTCAATTAACACGTGTGCCTTGTTAAGAGTCAATATGTAGAATGACTTGCCTTCTGAATGTGTTTGAGACCATCAGTTGTGTTGTGCAGAGGTAGGGTTAGTGCACAGTGGAAAGACCTATTTGACTGCTGTTGTAATCCATATTATGGCAAGAACCACTCAACTCAGTAAAGAGCAACGACGTCCATCATCACTTTAAGAAATGAAGGCCAGTCGATCCGGAAAATGTCATGAACTTTGAATTTGTCCTCAAGTGCAGTCGCAAAAACCATCGAATGCTATGATGAAATTGGCTCTCACGAGGACCCCCCGGGAAAGGAAGAGCAAGAGTTAGCTCTGCTGCAGAGGATAAATATACACACAAGTTACCAGCCTCAGAAACCACAAATTAAAGCACCTCAGATTAGAGCTCACATAAATGATCACAGAGCTCAAGTAGCAGACAAATCTCAGCATCCACTGTTCAGAGGAGACTGCGTGAATCGGGCCTTCATGGTCCAACTGCTGCAAAGATCCACTACTGAGGAAGGATGGACAACAAGAAGAAGAGAATTGTTTGGGCCAAGAAACACAAGGATTGGACATTAGACAGTGGAAATCTGTACTTTGGTCTGATGGGTCCAAATTTGAGATTTTTGGTTCCAACCTCCGTGTCCTTGTGAGACACAGAGAAGGTGAGCGGAAGGTTTCTGCAGGTGTGGTTCCCACCGTGAAGCATGGAGGAGGAAGTGTGATGTTGTGGCCGTGTGGGGGGGCTTTGCTGGTGACTCTGATGGGGATGTATTCAAAATTCAAGGCACACTTAACCAGCATGGATACCACAGCATTCTGCAGTAGTAGCCAGCAAAATATAAATCATAATCTTGATTATTTTTAACACTTTTTGGTTTACTAGATAATTCGATATATTCTTTTATCATTTTGATTTCTTCAATATAAATCTACAATGTAGAAAAATTTTAAATAAATTAAAATACTTCGAATGAGAAGGTGTGTCCAAACCTTTGACTGGTAGTGTGTTTTGTAAAAAAAAATCCAATATACAATATGTAATAAAACACAAAATATATGCGTGTGCATTTATATATTTATACACATATATGTTGTGAAAGTATTGTTTAACGTTCATATCGCCGTAAACCACACTCAGAGGCGGGTTAGAAAGGGACTCAGCGCCCCCCGGTGCGTAAACAGGGAACTGCACTCGGTTTGCGAAGAGGAAGGACGTGGACAAAGTTGCAGGAGAAGTTGTGGAGATCAGAAATGGCAGCGCAGGAGGAATTATTTGCGGGTAAATCATATTATTTCAAGTGCTGTTTACAAAGTTTGCAGCGTGTGTACGTTAGCGTGTGTATTGGCAGTGCTTGAATTGGAATGAAAAAGGTGCCAGTACTCTAAAATCAGCAACTTTTTCAAGTCAATTTTATATATACAGACCACAAACAAGAATGTGGCTACTATAATGCTGGTGGGTTTGTCTCTTTACTACTGTATATTTGAGAAAGGTTCACTGTACTTAACATTTTTTATGATAGGCAGCGGATATGGCTAAAGCTCAGTAAGGTCAATATTAACTGAAAATATAGCAATCAAAGTCTAGATCTTCTGCTGAAGACACATGAAGCAGAGACCTTTCAGGTGAGAGCCCCTCTGGTGGTGTTCAACATTAATGACAAGGAAACAAAGCTCTGGTCAGAAGCATTTTTTATAAAAAGCTTTAACAAAATTAAGTATTTCTGTACATTTTGAATGCAATCTAACTTTCCAACTCAGAAAACGAAAAACGAAAAAGTGCCAAAAGTCTTCTCACATGGCTGAGCTGCTTTGCAATATACTTCACCACTGAAGAATACAAATATGTATAAAGTAAACTATGATGCAATCTAACTTTCCAACTCAGAAAAATGATAAAGAGCATGAACAAAGAACATGTAAAAACAAATGCAAAATTTGCACAATCTAAAATGAGAAACTGTAACTGCAAGTAACAAAGTCTGAGCCATGGTAAAGAGTTACATTGAACACCAAGCTGATCAGATAACTCCCTGGTTGGTCTGAAGTCCTTCTATCTCCAGGATCTGTACAAATCGGCACATTATGCCAAAAGTCTTCTCACTGGGTGAGCTGCTTTGCAATATACTTCACATTGTTAGAAAAGGCTCCAGAAGGCCTTGGGGACATCAGTATCAGGGGCTGGAGCTGGACAGGCTCTTTCATCAGCACTTCTCCTTCCCTTTGCCAGCCAGGACCTCACATACTGTTCCGGATCGAACTGTCCTAGTGATGGTCCATTACATTTAATGAAAACCAGGCTGTACAGTCGGCTGACAGAGAGAGCATTCCTTTTTGCAGTAAGGATATCGTTCATGCAGCTGAATGCCCGCTCACACTCACTAGTGGAGACAGCGATGGTTCGGACTGCTTTCAGTAGAGGCTCCATGGCAGCAGGTGTACGGGATGCCCTGGTTTCCTTGTATTCGCGAAAGCCCTGAACAGTCTCTCTTCTGTCCACTTTCAGCACTTCGCACAAACGTAGCACCTCTACGTCCCCATACTGTACGTCTAACTCCTCTTCAGGCCAACTTCCAGGATGGATAACTTTCATGTCCTGGATTAGCTGATTGTCCCGGGCCTCCCGGCCATGTAATGGGATTTCTCTTGTGCTGACATGAGAGGAGGTTGTGGAAGTCATTCTGTGTCTCAGATTCTCTACCATACTGCGGAAAAACTGACCTGCATGAATCTGTACAAGCCTGCCATTCTCACGCAGGGCAACACCCTTGAAGGACTTCTCAGCTAGAGCTGTATGAACTGTAGTCATGTGTGGGCCAGGCATGGTGACCATGGATTCAAAAACTCGTATTTCTCGAGTTAAGAGCCTATCTGCTGTAGGCAGTGTCATCTCTCTTTTTTGGAGTTGCCGAGAGAGGTCGCTGAGCTCTGTGAGCGCATCGTACATCAGTCCCAGATTGCTGACAAACGTTGCAGATGTGAGCACATCATCCAGGCCCTTGTACTTTGCTCTGTCTCTGGAATCCCTGCTCGTGTCGTTTGCAGCATTTGTGAAGTGATCATGAAGCACTCGGTAGTTTTCCCAGACTGCTCTGACGCTCCTTTCACTTGAAGCCACCCAGCGGATGGACAAAACACGCCCTATCACCAGGAGACGCTGTCCGACTGCTTGCGCACACTGCGCTAACTGCCTCTGATTTTTGGGGGAGGCATGGAACAAGGAATAGAGTTTGTCAAAAAAGATCTGGAAATGATTGAGCCCTGAGACCTCCTTGACCACATCCCCAACTGCCAGCTCTAGACGATGATTGGAGCAGTGCCACACAAACAGGCTTGGGAATTTACTACACAACTGGGTAGCAACGCCTGTTCTCTTCCCTAGCATGACTGAAGCCCCATCACATGCAAAAGAAACGAAACACTGACCTAAAAAGTCCTCGTTAAAATCTCTTCCAAGACACTCCATTAACGCCTTTGTGATGTCATCAGCCGTTGTTCCATCCAACTCGATCAGCTCCCAAAAAAACGTTTCGGGCTCAGCATCAGCTAATGCTGAGCGTAGACACACAACAAGCACCGTTTTACCACTAATAGTGGTAGATTCATCGACCAAAACACAGAGTTTTCTTTGGTTTTCTGTAATGTCTTTTGCCATTTTTTTCTTCAGCTCATGAGCTATGTGGTTGATGATTTCGCCACAGGTTTTAATGGAGTGCAAAACCCTGCCCACGTTCAGCCCATTCAGTTTCTGTACATTCAAATCAATTGGCATGTCTGTGAATGGCCGGCTATGTTTGCCAATTTGATATGCCGTTCGAAAAACTCTGATAGTGGTGTCTAATTCAGATTTATGCATAGACTGCACTTGATGTTGAATAGTTTCACGTGAAGCAGATGTAAGGATGT